GGGGCGGTGAGTAGGGGGCCGCTCACCCCCGGGGTTGGGAGAGCAGGAGAGGGAAATGGCCGCCGGCGAAGCCAGGGGGCTGCAGGGGCAGACCTCCGTGTTCAGTGGGGGATTTGAGGGTGCAGACGTCTCCTTTTCGGCGTCAGTCACGTTTGTTTCTCTACAGGCAGCAGCTTCTTTCCTGGGAAATCTTTTTCAGCACCCAGATTTCGGTTGTACGGACCCATGTGAGACGGGATACTCTTCTGGGCAGCTGAAGCAAGGAAGAGCAGGTAAATGTCACTCCAGCATTAAAGACCAAATTCTCTCAGACACACCAAAATCCTTTTGGTGGCCGTTTCCACGTTCGATGAGGAGGAATGTGGGCCTACCGTGAGGGAAAGGTGGATTGAAAAATAAAATAAAAGCAGCAGCCAGGGGCGGGGGGGGATGTAGGTCTTTGCGCGCTGACCTGTGGGACAGTCCAGGTGGGAAAATGGTGCTGGGAAACAAAAAGCGTCAGAGAGGTGCAGGGAGGTGTCTGAGGGAGCAGCAGGCGGCTGGGGGGCACAGGGTGGGACCAGAGATCAGGCCGGAGAGCTTTTTATTCGAACTTGCTTTCTACTGCAGCTGCCTGGACTCGTGCTGGACCGAAAAAGCTCATTTATGCTCAGCGGGAAGTGTAGAAGGAGCCTCTGTGATAGAGCAAGGGGTTTAGATAGGAAATGGGCTTCAGAGCACGTGAGTAATCGGGAATGGGTGCACGTTAACCGTGAGCCCTTATTTCCCTCCCAGGGCCAAAATCCATGATCCACAGCGGCCACCTTGTGTCTAACAAGTCGGAGGCTCACAAGGGGATTGAGGAGTCATGGAGGAAGACCGTAAAGGATGCAGGTCGTTACCTGATCACAGGTGCATATTAAACAGAGCCACGGGGTGAGTCTTGTATTACATCTGCCACCGCTGTAAGAGACATACGGGTCTAATGCCCACCCGAAAAGAACCCCTTCCCCCAAACCTGCTCTGCCTCTGTGTTTTAAATTCACGCTTTTTCACTTCTCACTGAGACTTTTTAACTGAGGAGGGTTTTTTTTTCCTCCCGTCACCCTCACACCTTCCCATCTCGGTCCCTTCCTGGGACGCTAGGCGTATAGTTACATTGGACGAACACATTATCGGTTTTGTTACGACTCGTTTTACGTACGCACGTACGCCTGATTTAAAAATAACAGTTCTAGTTCAAGAGGCTCCCTGCTGTATCGGGGAATGCCAGGGGAGACGTAAACGTCCGACAGCTGCCGGGCCTTCGCGGTGCCCGTGGTCCCCATGGAGGCAAACGCTGCCGTTTCTGCGGAACGTTTGAATCGTCTTGCACCACGACAAAACACGTAGTGTCATCGTAAGTCAGGGTTACCGGTATTCCCGAACAAACCAACAGACAAGATGAGCCTGAGCCCAGAGTTTCGAGCAGGAAGGACTTGATTGAATTTAGAGAATATTCTTGGACACAGACTGATCAGGGAGGGGGGTGGAACTGCAGGAGTCGGGACGTTTCTAGTCAAAAGCACGTCAGTGTGGAATAAACAAGCCCCCTTTAACGAGCGTGCATATAGCAAGAGACAGGATTATAGTTTATTACATATATCTGAACAGCTTAGGACCCGGTTAAACAAAGCCCTTCTAGGTGGGTGCTGCGCCACGAGTAGGTTTGTAGGCCAGGCGGATCTTTTCCCAACCCATTTGCAAGGGAACAAGGGTGACGGCAGCCAGAAAAATCTCTTCCTTGAATTACTTGGGACTCACAGCAGAAAACGTTAAGAGCGGAACGGCCAACGTTAACCCACGCGGGTGTGTGTTTCAGGCGGAAACGTGCCGGTTTCTGAGGGAAGCGGCTCCGCCTGCCCGCGGCCCGCAGGAGGCGCCGCCATGTTGGCTCTCTCTGGCGCAGGCCCAGCCCCCTGAACGCCTTTTGGTGGGGGTGGGGGTGTTCAGTTTTGTTCGCAGGGCTGCGGGGACAACCCCGGTTTTGTACCGAGGCCGCCTCCGGTTAAGAACCGGGCTGGAAGCTTTTAATCAGGCCCCGGCAATGTCCCCCTCACCGGCTACCGGTCACAAGCCGGGAT